CGGAGCGGGATCGCGTGACCCAGCCCGCGGGGTGGCCGATGCAGCCGTGTCCGTGTTACCGGCGCGTCCCCCAGTCCGAGGTCCTGGTTTAAAGGACTGTCCAGGCCTTCTCCTTCCCCCGTGCACAGCAGGACAGCCCCACCTCCTCCCAGAGGGCAGCGACCTGTCCCAGGAGCAAGGGTGACTCAGCGGCTCCAGAGGAAGGGGAACGCACGAAGTGGGTCCTACCGAAGGCGTCCCCGAGACAGCTCGTGACAGCTCCCGGCAGGCAGCAGCTGCGGCTCCGCGCTGGAGCCAAGATGTTCAAAGGGGGCAGTGATACGGAGACGGGACACACAGGGAGTGGGGAGCAGGTGGTGAATCCACTGCCAAGGGGGGCCGGGCGGGAGCTGGGGTTGTCTGTTTATCCTTAACGCGTGCAACCAGGATTCCACCCAACGCCAAACTGTTCTTTGAAGTGGAATTGGTGGATATCGAATGAAAGGAGGAGTTTGCTGCTGGGCATCCATTACGATCAAGAAAGCTTCTGACAACGCGGTTTTGCTCTTGTGATCAGGATCTAGTTACAGCTGTGGCCTTGACTGAAATCCTTTGTTTTCCCTGCCCCCACCTGCTGTACAGTAACACCCCACTAAAGAAAACCTAGTTTCTACCTGCACGTGACCTCCCATGTGTGTGTGTGTGTGCCCAGCCCAAAACTTCTTTCTCTGACTGCGGGGGAAGCAGCACCCGCCAGGCCTGGCTGCGTCAGCCCCTGCCCCAGGAGCGCGCTCTCCCCGAGCAGCAGGGCCCCTCGGTAACGTGCTGCCGCCCAACAGGTTAATTAGCCTAAAACACTAAAGAGGGAAAAATTTACATTTACCGTCTCAGCACCAAAGTTCTCCTTTAACGGCAGAAGCGCGCGATGGCCCCCGTTCTAGAAGAGAAGCGTACGCGCCCCCGCGCTGTCCCCTGCCATCGCCGGGGACGCCTGTGTCGAACTGAGGCTCTGCCGTTCTTCGTGCTGGCTCGAAGGAGGCGACCCAAGAAAGCTCGGAGGACTAGTGAATTCCTTGCTTTTATTACAAAAATGGGAATGATCACTTTGATCAAAATGAAAAAAGTTTGCTCACGCTGTGTACATGAAAAACTCTAAATACAAAAATCATCCCAAACACAGTTTGTGCTTTTTAAAAAAGAACGCAACGTCACCGCCCACGGCCTTTCAGTCTGTGACCCCCCCGGACCAGACCAGACCAGGCAGGGCCCAGCGGGCGAAGGCTGCCCTCGCGCTCCGAGCAGTTCCAGCGGCGACGCGGACAGAGCGGCCGGGGATGATGGTCGCGACGTTCCGGCTCTGCGGGAGGAGAG